GTTTGTTTTTCGCAGCGCACATGTTGCAAAATAGCTTCACTTGTGTCGAAGCCTTACATTATACAGATTTTCTATTTTTTTTTTGCCCTCTTTAGTGTTTAGTTCGCTTTTTCCTGTGTGCGGCTGCGCTGCTAGTACAGGCGCCGACTGTTCAGGGGAGAAGACGCCCTGCTAAAAGTCTCTTTCTTCACATTTAACTCGAGATTTGATGAATTTTCTTTTACTGCAATTTCACATGTGAAAAAACGGCAACAAATGAACATGAATTTACTTGTATCTGAGATTATTTCGGGGATTTGTTGCATAAAGATTTTCTTCATCTCAGCGAAGCAATTAAGAAAAATGAAAACAGCCTCGTGAACGTTGGAACCGGGTTGGAAACAACATCTTGGTTTTCTCAGTATTCTGTCCCTGCATGTGAAGCAAACAACCTTTTAGACGTCACATGAAACCGAAACGATCCGTTCAGGACACTTTCCTGCAGCGCGGGAGGTGTGCATGATAGACGCATTTGTCAGCCTGTGCTTCCAATGTTTGTGCAGCCAGCGTTTAGTTGCAGAAACCTGCTCCTACAGAAACCCCCGTCGATCTGGATACCTTTGAAAGCGAAACCAACAACAATGTATCGTCTGATTTAGTTCGAAGTCCAACTCGTCTGCTGTGGACCGAACGCAGAGAAAAACATAAGACGTTAAAATCCACCACTGAACACTGTGAAAAGGCCATCTGTGGCCACCGAGCCGCGAGCTATTCTCTATCACAGCCAAGCATGGAAAAAGACATTTATAGGGTTTAATCACCCAGTTTTCAGGCCGAACACGAGAGAGATCTCAAGGAAACGGCTGCATCCACTGCGTATGACGCTTGCATTCCTAGATGCTGCTCTGCAACTTTAAACACAAACCTGGATTTAATGAGACCTTTTCTTCTTTCTCTCTCTCTGGCGGGTTGATGAACCTCACGTGCTCCAGGTTTCACCCAGATCAGAGTTGTTAGTCTTTTACAGCTTTTAGATTTTGAAACAGTGAAGGCACTCCGCAGCTCCCATGTCAAACAAAAGCTTTCCCTAGAACATCTGCGGCCTCATCGGCTCTTTAAGGCCCAGGGTGTGTTGACGCGTGTCTCAGGTCTGTCTTCACCTTGACCTCATCGTCCTGTCACATTTATATTCATATCAAGGATATGTAAAGTTTAAAAAATGCGAACAGCGCCCCCTCAGGACAAAACTGTGTCAGTTGCCGAGGACACATTTTTAACTTTATCTAAGTGGTTTGGTTTCTGAAGTTTTAAAAATCTCATCATCCTGTTAAATTTAGATTGAGTGTAATATGACACAGCGCCCCCCCAGGCCGAAGCTCTGCACAATTTCTACACCAATTCTCACCTTGTGAACCGGTCAAAAATCAAGACCAGGTGTCTCTTGAAAGTCACCTGAGAAGCACTTGCCCCCCCCCCCGCCCTCCCGACCCAACTGCAGCCTAGGTGTGGACCAGATGACTGAGGGGGTGGGGAAGGGGGTGCGGGGGGGGAGCGGATTTATTTGCGTCAGCCGGAGGCAGGAGGGAGCTGAGCGAGTCCCTCCAATGGGCCCTCTCACCTCCTGTTTGCTCACCCTTGACCAGACTCCAGGTTCTAGAGGGACCTGAGACCCTCTTGTTCATGTAGCTGCCACCCCCATCACCCCACCACCACAGCCCCCCCTTCACCCCCTCAGCTCCCCCCATCGCCCAAACATAGCCTCCTGGCTCCCTTCGCCTGCGCCACAGAGACCGGAAACAATCAGGCCAGCTGGGACAGCCAGAGTGCATTGTGGAAAGCTGAAGCCACAGACAAGGGGGTGGGAGGGTACGGGCTGATGGGTGACGGGCGTTTGGTGAAGTGGATGGATGCAGTAGGAATGGGTCTGTCGGTGAAGAGCCGAT